TGGACCACGTATTAGTACTCAGGTATTTTCTCAAGTGACTGTAGAACACCAAAGTCTAGCATCACTAGCAGAGACCAGTGAGCGGGTTGTAGACCAATGCGATGAGACTGAAGGTGTTAAGGGACCTAGTTAAAGTGTTCAACCGTCAAGCCCTCCACTCTTTGCGGGCAGGTCATTGAGCCCTCCGGGACGTTTTCAAGACCGTCAAAAATACCAATTGTGTAGATCTAGTGCGACGTATATAAAGTATTAATACTAAAACTACAACATGACGTAGGTGCTCTTAAGCAGTATTCTGAGCATGCAAGCCTGATGTTAATAAATAAATAACAGCGGGACTTCTCCCCCTCTGAAACTCATTTTCATTTATCACATATGCCCTGCATATGCATGAGATTAAATTAATATATTAAAAAGTCACAACTGATTAAGCTTTGCTCAATTCAAATTCAGTTAATGGTTCAAATACATGCAGGCCTGTGCGCTCAATTACATAAGTACAGCTTATGCATCTTTGTCAAGTAGAAAGAGTACAATTCAGAGAATGACAGTACGAAGATGCAGGGTTACGGTGCGATTCGGACCCGCAACCCCCACGGACCACGCTGCAGAGTGTTTGGCGAGCGATACCGCTGAGATTAAACTTTAAACTTTAAAGATCAATTAAAACTTTATTTCAAGGAGTGGATGTTCTTCATAAAGCAACTCAACATGGTTTAATCCCACCTCTTGCAACGTCTAAATAATACATATAGTTTTGCTTACCTAGTCTCAACTATAAGCCACGTTTCAGGAAATGCAGAGCTATAAGTTTACGCAAAGAGCTTGTTGCACTAATATACACTGTACGTAGTATTGATAAGACTGTTCTCTTTGAGCGGTATCGCCCACCAAACACTGTGCAAAGCGGGGAGGTAGCGGGTTCGATTCCCGCTGTTTCCCTGGATGTATCTTCGTCCCGCCCTTCTCTGTCTTATGCTATCTGTCCTTCTATTAGACAAAAGTTTATAAGCCTAAATTGAGCACAAAAACCTGCATATGTATGTAATTCCAATAACTCCAAACCGTTCACTTTGCATTAATTACTAAATTCAATATTACTCGCACTGCTCATCGCGTTGGGAGACTCGATAGTAAGAAGGTAATAATTTATGCATTATATGTGTGTTTTAAGTCTTAAAGTAAAATTATTTTTAGACCGTCTTACCTATTATTTATAAAGATAAGAAATTGTATAACACTTACGAATTTAAATTATTATCACAATAATTGGTGTTTTAATTTTTATTACATTACTTAAGTTTCTATCTTTTCATGTTTTAAAGAATATCCTTCTTCTTTTTTTAATTCGTTTAACTTCCTCAAATATATTCTTTATTGAAATAATTGCAAATTTTATGTTTACCTTTCATTTAAAAAAACAAATATTGCTTTAAATAGTTCAAAATAATCTTTAAAAAGCATAGGTTTTTCATATCTTTTTAAAATTTATTCTTGTAGCTAAGTTTTTTTTTTAAAATAGCATAAATAAATCTGCTGCTAATCTCTATATTTACTTTTCAAAAAACTTTTGGATGAGTTTTGTCTGCCTTTAGGTATCTATATCTATACATCATGGAATAAAATACTTTAAAATCATTGTTATTTTTTTCAGTTAGAAAAGTTAAGTTAGAACTAAATTTAAAAAAAATATATAAGTAGCATTATATTCTAAAGTCATAAGGAGATAATTGAAGTTTTGGTGATGAAATTTTCTATGAAAGTGATAAGAAATAAGTTTTTTGTTTTAGATCTGACAAAGTATTAAACTTAGTTCTCCCTTTCTATCCAAGTAACGAAAGTAATTATTAAATTGTTTTATTTATTTTTGTTTGTGTTCGAGAGACTTTGCTAAAAAATTGTCGTAATTTCGATTGGCGATAAGGTTTGCATGCATCATTCAGGACACAATTGTAACGTTTATTGGCGTCTGTCATAGATCTTCAGTTAAACCTTGAGCATTTAAGCTAACCTGAAAGTGGACAAAATTTCGAATTTCGAACAATTTTGTCTTGCGTTGTTGCGATAAATCGATGATAGTTTTATTTGTAGCGGTTAAAAAAATGAAGCTTGTATTGACTTTTAGTATAACCTCAAGTAACTCAGCGTTCAATATAATTTGGTACAGTTTTATCACTCATTTTTTTTCTGCCTTCACAAAACGAGTGTCGTGTAAAAAATTAAATGGGTTTTACTCTTGCTAGTGGAAATTTCTAATTGCAACAAAAAATTATAAAAGAGGTTAAAAAAATATGTATAAATAGCCTGTCATTAAACGTGAAGTAAATATTTGAAAACTCTAGTTGGCCGAAAAGGTCGGAGTTTTGATAAATTTTCTAGAGAGAAAAATAAATTCTGCTTGTAGAGGAGTCCGAAAACGAAGGAAATTAGTACTAAAATTACTTCGCGTTTTTCTGAAATTAGTTCTTAAAAAAACGCTTCATGTTAACCCCATCAATTTTTATTCATGCTTACTACTTTGTTAATACAGCCTAACTCCTTCATAATAAACAAGAGTTATAGTAAACACTCGATAGTAGTGAACGTTTTTAGTGGTTCATTCAAAACTAACGTTGTATTAATATTGTTTCATATAAGATTATAGTGAACAGCTGTGAAATTGGTTGTTAGTTTTTATAATGAACTCATTTCTTTCTTGCAATTATTAATATATATTTTATAATTATTATTACGAGTTCGCAGTTAATATTTTCAAGCATCTTAAAATTTTTCAACATTTTATATATCGTCTTAATCATTAATTTTTTTTAATCATCTGTTCGCGTGTGTTTCGCAGAACTATTTTACCAACTATCTAAATAAATTGCGACATTTCTAAAAATCTTATTCATTACGCTACCACGTATATTATTTTTTCATTAATATACTAATCACATTTTTTAGTACTTTTATTTTAGGTTTTCCTTTAAAGTAAAGCTCTTTTTAAAATTATTGTCAAGTTTTTGCTAAAAGAAAACTTGGAATTATTGCCTGCTAACTAAGAATAAGATCTTGTTAAGATATTAAAGAGTTTCTGCTGTTTAAAATTTCTTGATGCAAAATAGCTGATTATTTACTAAAAACACTATTTTTTCGAAAAATTAAGATAAATTAGTGATTTTTTTTCTTCCTGTGACTTCAACATAGATTATCTAAAATGTTGTAGTTCACTATAAGGAGGATAAGGATACCGAACATTAAAAGCTGTCTAATACGTAGCAAAGTTTTAAAGCGTCTTAAAATATCTCAGTATTTCAAATATCGTCCGAACATTTGCGAAATTAAATTTTTAATTACCTGGCCGCGTGTGATTCACAGAACTACTCAATAATTATTTCATTATATCTTTTACTCTTTCTTAATGCCACCACGTAGATTCTTTTCCCAATAATATACTAAACTATTTTGGTATTTTAGTTTTAATTGGTACTTAGAGGCTTTTTCTTAAAATTAATACTCGTAAGTAGTTGTTAGGTTTTTTTTCGAGTCTCAGAACTGTAGTCAGTTAGCTGATAATATTTAAAAAACATTTTTTATGTTAAAATTACTCAGTGCAAAACATCCGTAGTAAATAAGTGCACCATTTTCTCAAAGATTTAACAAATTATTTATTTAGTCTAATGATTCTTATTTGTTTGGTTTGTGAAAAGTTAATGCATATAAGTGGAACTCAAAAGCCCCCAACTGAACGAAAATTTACTTTTAAAATTATTTTTCAACTTTAGTAGCATTTCCAAAGTATTATTATACATAATTTGTTAGGAAAATGCCTTATTTTTTTAAACAGCAACTACTAAAAATTGAAATTTGTAAAAATATTCCGAATAATATGATGTTAAAAAAATGCAATAAATGCAATTTTCGAACTTAATTTCATACAAGAAAAATAAATACCAGGTGAGAAAGTTAATATACTTTTTACAGAAACTGTGAAAACCAATTTTTTCGATGTTTCGTCATAAGAGGATAAGACTGATATTGCTCCAAGAAACCTATTCAATAATTTCGTTATTTCTAGAAAAGAAATCTGTCTGGACGAAACATATTATTTCTTGAAAGTTAAGACAAGAAAAATTTAACTATTTATCTAAGCTTATTCCACTTATTTAATGATAGCGGTATCAAGGTTAAGGATATGTGATGCAAGCCCTGTTTTCTTTTATTCTATAAATGCATTAAATCATATAGCTTGAATAATTTGTTTGAAGCAAATTATTTAATAATTTTAAGCAAATAATGGTGTAAAAATATACTCGATCGAAATACGCCTAAAGTATACCCTAAAATTTATGTACAATAAACTTTGGAATCGATCAATAAAAATACCTTTTCAAACAACTTTGAATAAGTCAGAAATTCTAACTTGTTTGAAATAGCTGTCCCTGTAACTACTTAATTTCGATTCCTGGTGCTAGGGGACATTCCATTTTTCACATTCGACTTTTAAAATTTCAATTGCAAACGGAAATTTTTTTATGTCCTTAAGAATGTTATTATTTTTGCAGTAAAAAAAAAATTGTACTGTATTGATTTTTTTTAGAAAGTAGTGACTAATTATCATTTTTTCAATCTAAGAATTTGTGCCTATATCTTACATAAAACTTATTTTAATATCTAGTGAACTAATTTAATATACTGTGTTACTAAATGAATAATCCCAAGAAAGTGAATAGAAAAGATAAAAACTTCGTTGATTTATAAAATAATTGATGTTAATAAAAATAGACATGTTTTGAGTGTCCAATAGTTAGTCACTAGCCATTCACAACTGTCGAGTCTTGAGAATGGGCACTTATATTTGAACGTTTGAAACATGTCAACTTTTATTTCCCTCTTCATATTTTTTGAAGCTAGTTAAAGTTTTCATTATCAATTATACTGTTTTACATTTGGGTCTTGATCACTATTTTGATAAGGATTTTATGCTTGTAAAAGTAAACATATGCCTTTTAATATTTTAACAGGATTCATGTGGTCTTTAAAAACGAATGAGAATCGTAGCATTAGCATTTTAGCTATAAAAGTTATCCCTAACTTTAAAATTAAAATTTTGAGACCAGATATTTTGAGTTAATGAAATTGAATATTTTAATTTTAAAGTTTTTGTGCCTCCATTTTAGTATCTTTTGGACCTTACGAACTCTGTTTAAAAAGAGTATCGAATTAGACATATATAAGAAAACAAAGAAATTATAGTATCGGTATTTGGGGATTAACGTAGCTTATCGTAATTGAAGAACATGTTGTGTGACATTTTATGGTGAATTTGCAATTTTCTGAATGTATCGAAACATCAGGATGTTATTTGCAAATCATCTTTATCTAAAGAAAACCATGTAACCTAAATATCAGGCAGAATGAAGCGATTTTTTAAAAGAATGAATCATACAGTATGCAACATATTATTTCAAAAGCATAACATATTAACCTTTTTCTTAAACATAACATATTTCAATGATTTTAAAATGTCATTTAGCATTCAGCAAGTACTTGAGGTATAGAAAAAAGAAATATCGTAAATTATCTGAAACCTTTTGAATGTGCGTTAGAACTACTATACAATCTGCATTTATTCTTCATGCACTTTTTTTGTTTTTTTCAAACTTTCTTGCCTAGTGGACTCAATTAAAGCTGCAAAAATGATTAACCTTAAAATTTTGTACGTAGATATAATTTATGTAAATTTGATTTTAGCATGAAATCCTCGAATAAATAAAATAAAAACCACATAAAAAACCTAAATAATGTCTGAAGAAGTTCATGTATTAAAATTATAAGAGTTTAGAAAATCGTAAATAATATATAAATCGATTCAAATTTTCTTTTCAAAGGAGAATCTTTGCATTTGGGCAGAAAGCAGCTTAAAAATTCTCTATTGCCGAGAAACTTAGAAATATTTTCTATTAACTATTGTTAATTAAACCTCTCCGAGCAATTAAAGAACATAATTTCATTTTTTTTTAGTCTGAACTTGGTTGCTTAGCAGCGGAGTAAAATTAAGTATTCTTCTTTTGAGCTCTATGGGTTATTTTAAAATATTCATTTGCGGAGGCGAGTTTACTTGGCTGTTTTCTGGGACTATCTCCAAAGTATATAAATCTT